AAAATCAGAAGCGAGCTAGTGTGTAGCAGTGTGCAAATGGAAAGACAAGCGTAAAACATTTACTCGTCTTTGAGATGCTGTTTTTGAGAGGAATGAAAAAATAATACAAATAAATAAAAGAAAAAACAACGGATAGCCCCTCTTGTTTTTTTTCATTTTTAAAAAATTTCCTAAAATAACCCAAAAAACTGATATAAGCTGCCTTGTTGATCCAGTCTATAAAGAGTACCAGTAAATGTCAATAGAGGTTGAGACGGTCAGAAAAGGAAGTTTAATTATAAACTGAATAACTCTTACTCTATGCAATATGAGAAAGCATCATATCCTAAATATACTTCTCATCTTGAGAGTAATCATTTAGTTACTTTCTTATTTCGTACACTTGCCTACCAGACAACGGGCTAAATGGGTAAAGGAAATGTGGGAAAAAATTTTCTGGGAAATTTTTCCTAAAAATACTGAAAATGATTTTTGTATTACTGGGGAAACAAATTGTCAAAATGACAAGTGTACGACACGCCCAATTTAGCAAAGGAAAATTAAAATTTTTACGCTCCTCTGCCTGAAAATATATTGCCGCTACTTCACAACATCACCGTAAAGCCTGCTAAATTTTTTTTTTTTGGGGGGGGGGGGGGGGGGGGGGGGGGGGGGGGGGGGGATCAAGTATACTTTAAAATGCCCCCCGATTACAATGTTATATCTGCAGCAAAAACTGACAACTTATAACTCTTTACGTGAGGGATATATCTCCTCGTGGCTAAGGGGTTTGTTTATTTGAAAACATGATGACCTCGGAATGACAGAGATGTTAACGAGTAACGAATCTCATTAATAAGTTTTAAAATTTCACATGTGTTTTTTTCCACCCATTTTCCATTTGAATAAAGCCCAGCGAAAATATGCAGTGTTCAAAATTTAAAAAAAACTTGGAGTATTCTCTCGCTCCACTCAGTACCTCTCTGTCCTTTTTCCCAAATTCGAATAACCCCCGCCCCGACAGTAAATTATGGTGGTTCCCCTTTTTTGAAAATGAAACGGGGTTACCAAATTCGGACGATGGTCGTCAGATTTTACTTGTGGTTTTCTTAGAAAAATCTTCACGTCCCCAAACACGTCACTTTTCGCGAATCTAAAATCCCCCCCTTTTTCCCAGCTGCCAAACCTACAACCCTTTATGACCCTTGTTCTGGGTTTCAAGTGCTGGTGTGAGCCCTGCTTGAAAATCTCGTGTGTCTCGATTATTCACGTTCTCATGTAATTCTGTTCTATCCCGATGTTTACTCCCATATTATTACCGAGAGAATCCCCGTGGGAAAATACCAACATTACAGTGTCCACTTAGTAGTAAGGCTTCAACAGTAACACTCACAAATCGTAAATTATAAAAATCTGCACTTCAGTTCGGAGCTTCCTCCGTTGTTGTAAAATTTGCTCTATAAAATTCCTAAAATAAAAAAAAGCATTTCCCGGGGTTCGAAAAAGGTAAAGTACATATAGAAAAATTTTAAAAGGGTCCTTTCTCTAAAATTTGGGGCCTAGGTGACGTTTGGTCTACTCTAACTAGCTCTTCGTCCTTCCAAAAGTTTTCAGTTTTTCCTGTTTGCTTTAACGCCATATGCCTCTCTCTCTACATTCATCTTTTTACATCCTCTTCTTAGTTTTTTATGTCAAGCCATGGACTGGTCTGATACAATTTCAAAACTAATCGTCTACATCTCTGTCCCATAAACTGTGTCTGCAAACTAATGCAAGTTGGTAATCCATTTTCGTCCTTTTTAGGATGAAATATTTTGTTATTTGAAGCCCCACCCCGGCTTTTGCCAGGGGCCGCAATATAAGCAGGCCATAAATATGGCCAATTGTCTGAACGCGGTTTCTGGGACCTCTTCACGGTGATCCTCATCCACATTGTGGCACTTTGTGGCATCTGGTGTTTATCGCTTGTGTGATGTCCTAGTGGGGTAGAAAGTCAGTCAGTCAGTCAGTCAATGCAAGTTGTTAAATATCATATCGCTGCTATGTACTGGTAGCTACCAACTTTATGGCGTCATTGAGATGTGTTGGTCATGTTGTTTTCAGTCTAATTTCAGGAGTTAAATAAGATTCCACCTAATTAGTTTTCCTTTGGGAATTCTGACACATAATTGTAATCCAACTC